GTAATTTTCAGAAATACGAAAGCTGCGGTATTTCAGTAACTACTGAAGATAATTCACTCAAAATTGATATTTACAATAATTTTTAGACGAAAAATAAGAATATTATAAATTTTTGGAAAATGGGCGTAGCCACGCCCACTTATGGTTACATGTGTATATCTTGGTAACCGCTGCACCAATTTCTTCCAAACTTGGCACAGTTGTTGGCCTTGATACAGCAAACTAAATGGCCGAAAATTTAAAAAATTGGACTATAACCACGCCACATCCCATATAACGGTAATTTTCGGTAATACGAAAACTGCGATATTTTAGTAACTACTGAAGATTATTCACTCAAAATTGATATTTACAACAATTTTCAGACGAAAAATAAGAATATTATAAATTTTTGGAAAATGGGCCCACTTATGGTTACATGTGTATAAATTGGTAACCGCTGCACCAATTTCTTCCAAACTTGCCACAGTTGTTGGCCTTGGTACAGCATACTAAATGTCCGAAAATTTTTAAAATCGGACCATAACCCCGCCTACATCCCATATAACGGTAATTTAGAGAAATACAAAATCTTTGATAAATCAGTAAATATTAAAGCTAATTTATTCAAAATTGATGATTGCAAACAATTCTTCACCAAGAAATACGTTTATGATAAAATTTTGAAAAAAGGCGTGGCACCGCCCACTTATGATCACATATATGTATCTCGGTAACCGTTCTACCAATTTGTACCAAACTCGGTATGGTTATTGTGCTTGCCACATAAAAGAAAATTATTGAAAATTATTGAAATCGGACTAAAATTACGGCCCCTTTTCATATAACGGCAAATTTCAGAAATGCTTGAAACTGCAATATTTCGATATTTAAGGACGCTAATTTACTCAAAATTGATACACCCCGGCTTACCATCTAGCGGTAGGTTTCGGAACGGTGAAAAAACATATATTTAATACTTGCGCCGAGTATTTAATGTTCGGCTCCGCCCGAACTTAGACTTTCTTACTTGTTTTTATATAAAACTAGTAAAGTTAGAAGGACGAAATTCGAGTATGTGCTAGTTTACATATATTTGACATATATTTTTTCAAAAATAAATATTGGAAATTTTCAAGGATATTCAAGGATAAAGTTTTAAAAGGACATTTTCAACACTCATTCGTCCTGGTGCACCAAAAAATATATATTTTTTTTTCAATTCTACAAAATTTTTCCTTTTAACTGGTACCCATATTGTTACTCTACAATGCACCTAATCTTTTAAATAATTTTTCTATTCAACCATATCCTAGAAATTTCGACCGCTGTGGTGTAGTGGTAAGCAGTGCGCGCTTTCACTCATCAGCACCGGGGTTCAAACCCTGGTCAAAGCAACATCGCAAAAAAAAAAAACAAGGTTTTTTCTTAACAGCGGTCGTCCCTCGGCAGGCAATGGTAGACCTCCGAGTGTATATCTGCCATGAAAAACAGCTTCTCATAAAAATACAATCGCCGTTCGGAGTCGGCGTAAAACTGTAGGTCCCTCCGCTTTGTGTGACAACATCAAGGCGCACGCCACAAATCGGAGGAGAAGCTCGGCCAAACACTAACATATGTGTAAGCGCCAATCTATTATTATTATTATNGTCCCTCCGCTTTGTGTGACAACATCAAGGCGCAAGCCACAAGTCGGAAGAGGAGCTCGGCCAAACACTAACATATATATAAGCGCCAATCCACTATTATTATTATTATCCTAGAAATTTCAAAGTCCTTTAAAAAAAATCCTGACGTCAGGGAGAAAAATTAAAAACGCAGTTATACTGTATTTGGCTCCTAGTTGTGTAAATATATTGATTTTTTCGTGTGTTTTAAAAATTCTTGGTTTTTGTCGCACGGTGTTACTAATTCTGTGATGAATTGTCCCTGAAATGAAATGGTCATATAATGAATAATGCTGTGATAAATTGCCCCTGTGATGAAATGGATATATAATGAATATTGCTGTGATAAATTGTCCCCCTGATGAAATGGTCATATAATGAATATTGCTGTGATGAATTGTCCCTGTGATGAGTTTTCTGCCATAATATAACACCACCGTAACAAGTAGAGGCAATACCCTATTTTTCGCCCTCAATATTGAAGCGTCACTATCATTTAGATCTTTAAGATAGGTTTGAAATTCCTTAAAATGTACATCTATACATAGTATAAAGGAAAGTCGAGATTCTTTGTACGTGGTAATCTCAAAAACTACTGAACGGATTTTGACGTGATTTTCTCTAATGTACTCTATATCGACAGGATAAGGATCTTTTTTTACTTAGGATTTTAATAGGGTTGCTGCCACCTGCCTAAAAAACTATAAGATCCGCACCATTCATTGGATTACAAAAGATAAGGCGGCAAATGAAAGGGATTGGCTTCTAGAAAAGCACTAATATTTTTCTCAGTGGGTTGCCACCTGTTAATAAAATTACCATATTCAAGCATAATAAGCGTAGGCATCAGTTCTGTACCCTTACTGTCAAACGAAAAGACTTAAGCCTCTGGATGTGTAATAATGTCTTATTTTTCTGAGTAGGGTTGGCATCTGTTTAAAAATTATAAGATCTTCACCTTTCGTTGGATAAAAAAATAAAATACCAAATGAAAGTGACTGGCCTTCGCATGTTCAAAATCTTTAAGTTTTTTTAGTAGGGTTGCCACCTATTTAAAATTACTATCTTCTNCATGGCCTTCGCATGTTCAAAATCTTTAAGTTTTTTTAGTAGGGTTGCCACCCATTTAAAATTACTATCTTCTATACATAGTATAAAGAAAAGGCGAGATATTTTAACCACACTACTGAACGATTTAGACAAGATTTTTTATATAATAAACGAAGTACATGATGACATATGATTTCTTTCTCCAAATACGTAAATGTACATACATATGCATACATGCAGCGCGTGGCAGAGCCTCGCGCATCCATGGCCGGCTAGTAGACAATAATATTTTGCCGCCGCTAACCAGGTTCCCCATCTCGCTAATATTGGCTCTGGCAGAAGAGCGATATTGGGATACATGTTCTTAAAAGCTTCAACGCGCAAAGCAGATTATAAAAATATTTTATCTAATTCGACATTAAAACGTCAACATCACTAAAGCGAGCTCTTACATCTTTGGCTACTCGGTGCATTGCGTGCCAAACAAGTAACGTGTAGTAACTTTGGTAAAATACCTTCAGCGCCTTTGCTGATTATACCATATCGAGCCCTATCCGCTAAAAAAACGTAGGCGATATATTTTTCAAAATATTTATTTTTGTTGCTGAAATGCCTGTAGAGCATCTAGATGCAATTGTGAATCAAAAAGAAAATTTTGAAAAAAAAGATCGCCTGGGTTTTTTGGCGGTTAGGGCTCGCCATATGCGCTGCGTCAGTGACATTAAAATAATTTTCGACGAAATCAGTACCCAATAGTTGCATGGAATCATCAAATGCTCTTGCAAATGTGGAGTGAATCGTCCGGCGTTTAATAAAAAATGCAATTAAATATGCTTTTTTAACAAAATATGCATTAAAGGCAAAATATGTAAGAATATGCACAAACAAATCGATGTCTTCTTAACACAAAACTCTTGATTCGCAACATTTGTTAATCTTTAATACAGTGTTCTTTATTATCAAAACTTTGAGTTCGAGTGCAAAACTGTGGCTTCATTAGTCGATATGATGAAGCTTCTGTATATGAGTATACATTAGGGTGGTCCAAAAAGGGTAAAGTCGGAATTGTAATGCTCTCAAACCCTAGGATTGTTCCATATCGAAAATAAAGTATACCCCTATTTTTTTATTTTGAAATCAATAAATATTTAGAGGTCGCTCAAAGTTTTGCATGTAGAAATGGTATAGAATTCTTGAAAGGCAATATTTTTCCATCGGAAAACTCTGGTTCTATTCAGGAGACTTTAAATAATAATACCCAGTTCTCCATTTAACCATTTTTTAATACTAACGATTTTTATTGGTCGCCCCATGGCATTTTTCGGGGTTTTTGTGGTTTTTTGGCGGACCTATAAATTATAGTTGCAATGAAAAAATGGTGAAATAAACACTTGGGTATTATTACTGGAAATCTCCTGAAGAGAAACAGAGTTTTCCGGTCGAAAAATATTGATTTTCAACAAGTCTATACCATTTCTCCGAAAAGTTGTTTTTTCCCCATNTTGGTCATTATTACTGGAAATCTCCTGAAGAGAAACAGAGTTTTCCGGTCGAAAAATATTGATTTTCAACAAGTCTATACCATTTCTCCGAAAAGTTGTTTTTTCCCCATATAAAATACTTGGAACACTTTAGGCGCTTTGAGCGACCTCTAAATATTTTTTGATTTCAAAATAAAAAATTAAGGGTATATTTTTTCGGTATAAAACAATCCTAGGGTGTGAGAACATAACAATTCCGACTTTACTTTTTCACATGCATTTTTGGAACACCCTAGTAAACATATGTATGTAAATGAAATGAAAATGAAATATGTATGTAATATTTAAGCATATAATCTAATCCATATATGTACGTATGCACATTGTCCTTAAGAATGTATTTTCGGGAATAATGGGTTTAAAGTCCATGAAGTAAAATATTAAGGGACAAATGACAGCCCAATTAAAAAGTAAATTTAAAATTTCTTAAACTTTATAGAATATTTCAATAGATAATGCTTTCATATCCCAAGAAGCGCGTGTTTTTGCTTTCTAAAGATAAATATATATTTTTTGTTTTATCGCCAATATTACTCTTACATTTTTATTATATTANAAATTTCTTAAACTTTATAGAATGTTTCAATAGATAATGCTTTCATATCCCAAAAAGCGCGTGTTTTTGCTTTCTAAAGATAAATTTATATTTTTTGTTTTATCGCCAATATTACTCTTACATTTTTATTATATTATCTTCCTTAAAGCTGTTAAATTATATTTTATACATACTCGCAACTTTAAAAAAATATTTCTTTCTGAGCAGCTGAGAGTGACAATCAACCAGGAAAAACAGCAACTATTGAAATGTATGCTCCCAGCTCTTACAACGATACCGTCACAGGCGAAACTTTATCCAGTGTTTCGGAGAAGAGTGAGTCGTATTCAAATGAAGACAGTCAAACAGAATATACTGTAAGTACTTACCTTAGAACGTAGATCGTATGTGCATACTTACGTAATTTGTATTGACATATCGTCGCTGCGCCAACAAATACAGTTATGTATTTTTTCAGGAGAGCAAAAAAACTGATTACTGGTGCCAATAAGCAATATTTTGCAAATGTCGTATTAAAAAAAAATTATATTAAAAATATGTTATTGATTTATGAAAAAAATAATATTTTTTTTTTGTCCGATTACGACATGATCAACATTTGCGTCGCTTTAAAGCACATAGCTGTTTCTATACACGATTTAAATTTGCTTTTGGCGGTATGGAATCGTATGCAATTTGTACATAATACTGCCGTTAGGCCTAGATGCAATGTATAGAAGTTGAGGACTCGATTAGTTAAGTGCCCGTTGCTTCTGTTATGTAATGACAAATGGTCAGAAACGTTTTTATTGGATTTTTGTAATAAAAATTAATGCAAAGTGGTGAGTGGACACATATTTTGTACAAACCATGAAATTGCCAGAGATGCGAAAGCTCGTATATACAAGAAATAATTTCAATATAATTATAATTGAATATTTATTAAATGCTTTCACATTTGTATACATTAAGCAAATTTGCTTAACATAGTAAATTTTAAAACTAAGTATTTATCGAGGTAGATTATCATAAAACGAATGGAAATCTTTGTGTATATATTTCTTTAACGTTTTAAGGCTGTTGCGTTTAGATTGATCAATTTTTTTTTGGACAATCGTACAATAGCTCCGTTTCGTATCGCTGTAATAACAGAGCTCGCTTTTGTGGCAATGATGTCCAGCAGTCGGTATTAGGGTTGTTGCGAATGTGGAATTTTAGACATCCGCGGATGCGAATGCGGATGCGAATATCTAACAGCTAGCATCCGCGGATGAGGATGCGAATGCGGATATCAAGTATTTTTACGAAACAACTAGAATCTAGTATAATGGCGAGATCGTTGTTAAACAGCGCTTACAAGCCAAACTAGATGTGTCAGGTTTTTCTAAAGCTTTTTAAAAAAAATTCTTCGTCTGTAACTTCATCAGCGTCTTTCGATTTTAGTTCTTGTAATTCATTTTTAATACTTTCTTCTGCGACTGGTTCGAAAAATTTGTGCTTATAGCGAGCTAAATAGGTGGATATGAAAAATAAATTATTATTTCCCAAGAATGAAACTTTGCGAAAAAAATTTTGTTTTCAAAGTTGTGGCTGCCAGCCTAATCGGATCAGAATATTGTTATTTTTTTTTAAAGCCCCCCGGTGTTTATAAGCATTTGAATCTCAGATAGTTACGTAATTACCTAAAATACCTATAGTTTTTTAATTATTTGAGCATCGATTCTCTTTATAGCTAAACGTTGATCGTTTCTGCTGGCAATCCCTACTGAAGGAGCTTACTCTTTGACTTTAAATAGCAAAGAAGGGACAGTTTAATAAGCTGACCAACCGTCCTCCTCAAACGCGATTCGCCCTCCTCAAAAATTTTGTCCTTCTCTGTCCTCCTTTTGAGCAAAAATGTCCTCCTTGTCCTCCTTTTCAAGTTTTATAGCAGCGATGAAATTTTCAAAAAATTTCGTTCAGAATATTATTATTTCCTAATCGTACACAATCATTAGCTGCATTTTATTGTAAGCGAGCGACAAAAGAACGCTCAACTTGGGTAAAATTTCCTTTTAGCTACTTAAGCAACCCTGTTGGTAGCTGGCAAGAAAATGTGATTAGTTTAACGGGATTTAGACACAAAAGCCAATTTAAATGAGTAATTATGCGAGGTATTTGCGTAATATATACACTCTTTTAAAATATAAGTCACGTATAAAAAGAAGCTAAAATTTCCCTCTCCACTTTCCCATTAACAATTCACAATAGAGCAGTTTTTTCACTTACCAACACGAGCCTTCAGGTCGCGTATTTTTTAACCGACCTGGCTGAGCTCGGATAAATAGCCGAGTTTGTGTTGTTGCTTTGCGTGTATTTCTTCCGTCATTTAAGCGAGTGTTCTTTTGTAGCTCGGTTGCAAAAGAATGCACCTGTTGTATTTAAAAGGCGTTTATATTGCTCAACTTTCAGTTAAATGAAAGCTTTTGAACTTTTTTAAACTTTTCATTCAACTAATCGCCTGTGAAAGTTGAACAGTGTAAACGCCTTTTACCCGTAATCGATAATATTTTACCCTTTACAACACTGAAAGACTAGCTAACGACGCGTCTCCACAGGCGAAAATTATTGCCTACCATATGCCATTTTGTTTGGCAGATAAAAGATTTTGTAAGATGACTTAAACTAAGTATGGTCGATGCATTGGAGCGCAAATCTGCTTACAAAAATTTATAAAATGTGTTATTTCACATCCAAGTACATAATCAACAAGAAATTTTTAAGCAAAAAAAAACCGACTTCAATTCTCATATAAAAATTTAAGATTATCGTTAATCTCTTCATGATCCAATGATCGGATTTGAAGAAAATGAATGGGACCACCTCTGAGGTAACACCTTCGCTTTAAGAAATGAATTATAGAAATCGGTTAACGTGGTCCAAAGTTGTGCGGTAGCATACACAAAAAATAATAATTATAATAAATAAATATTCCGACAAGTTAATAACATTCCTCCTTTTGTGAAGTTGGTTAAAAATTATAACATAGGCCTGTGTGGTTTTCCCCTTAAAAAACTTATTATCGATTTGAGTACTATAGGTACCACACTGCCAAAAATAATAAAAAATTTCATCACGAAATTTTTTCGAGAAGATAACTTTTATAATTTTTCTTAGCATTACCGTGCATTGCCAGCGTTAACTTATTAAATTCTCTATCATCATTAGTACTAAAACTATTGTAAGTAAAAATTCTACTCTAAATTAATTAATTTCTGGCTTTTCATGCACATTGCTAAAAGTTCTAACATGTAACTCTCGACGAGCTGGAAAAGAACCAAACATTTATTTTAATTTAATATACGTAGATATTTAAAAAAAAAATACATAATTATTGGAAAGGGTAAAAATTAGATTTCGCAGACCTGTCCTATCATACCAAAAAACCAACCTCCACTAAGTTTTCGCGCAATTGAAAATCTGGTTGTCAAATTAACTGACAGTCAATGTTTACCAAAATAACAGCTGTCTCCATTGACAATACATATATTGTCTAATAACATGATTAAGATGGAGCGTTTGCCTGTGGAGATGCCCCGTAATTATATTTATCGATGTTTTGATGCATAGCCAGGATCGCTATTTTCTTTGCGCATTAGTAATGACATTACTACACTGCGTTGCTTAATAATAAGACCGCTACTTATTAACAAGTTTTGACTTTTCATTTTTATATTATTTAATTTCAATTATTTACTTATAAAATACTGTTCATACTATAAAAAACACCATACAAATTCACATTTTGAAATTTGTTCAAAAATTATAAAAAACTAGCGAATTTTTACCAATATTTTACACTTTATTTAAGAATTTAAGTTTTGCGTATGCAGTTTTATAGCTCATGCAATTTTAGTATTATAAAGTGCGAGTTTGATATGGCTACAAAATAACGTTGACTTTTGGCATTTTTTTGTTGGCAATGTCATTCATATATATGGAAGAAAATGAACAACTTTGTCCATAAAAAAATTGCCAAAAATCAACGGTAATATTTTTCGGTCTTGTAATTATGCAACACAGTGTACAATTAATTTGCTTGACTTGCGTTTAGAGCAACTTTGAATAGTTTTTGGTTTTTTAACAATGTTAAATTATCCGTTATTTTTGTGTTAAAAAAAAAATATATAAAACAATTTTTTTGTCTTTTCAATGTAGAATATTTGTCCTCCTGGAATGCTAAAAAATTCTGGTCACCTTACAGTTTTACCACAGAAGTTTTTAGCCAAGGATCCCTATGAAAAAAATATTGCCCGGAAAGTAAACAAATTTACTGTTTTTTTAAATTTTGCTAAAAATAAATTCAACGAAGAGCCCCATTTGAAATTATTGAAACGAATATGTGTTACATCAAAAGAAAATCACGAAAATTTGGTTAAGAATTACAGTGCACACTTTCTTCTTTTGTGTCCAGTAGTTTTTTTTAGGATTGGTCCAAAAAATCATAATAGAGAAAGAAACCAATGCAGGTATTTATATCACAGAAAAAAAATTTAAAAAGACTATGTCAAAGGTCAAGTAGATGTTGGAACTTGTATGACTACCCATTGATAGCTAGGTTATATAGCTGAAGAAATAATATGTTTGTAGACATTGATGAAAGTTGATAAATATGACATTTGACCAGTTTTGTTACACAAATACTCCCACGACCACAGGCAAAAATATTGGCTACAATTTGTCAGTTTGTTTGCCATATTACGTTTTATTGGTGCACCTGCACAACATTCGCATTCGCAAAAGCTCCGCATTGGTAATTGCGAATGCGAAAGCGAATACGTATGTTAAATTATTGCGGAAGCTCCGCGGTTGCGAATGCGAATGCGAATATTCGCAACAACCCTGGTCGGTATGACGCAACTTGAATTTGACTTCACCATCTACATAAAGCAATTCTCCGATACTGCTTACCGGTGCTTCCCCAGGTTTTTTACCTGGCCTTATAGTTGTAAAGTTACCAGGAACACTCTCATAATTTAAAAATGTTGTATACTTTAAATAATTAACAATATAATGATGTGATGGCCTCGCCTGTCGCATACGACTTATGCAGTCCATTGGTGCATATATCGATGGGTTGAATACATGTAGAGTGAACGCTGTCTATCTCCATACTTTTTACCTTTGTTAATTGTTGAATTCTCATTGCAAGCGATCAAATTAAATAGTATCATCTATGTAGTGTAATTGGTATGTGCGTATGTGCATACATCTGTATGTATGAATTTAGTTGGTTTATAATTATTTTTTACATCGAAATTAAAGCACACTGATCAGATTCGCCTGTGATCGAAGTCATAAACAAGTAAGTGTGTACCAGTTTTTTCAGAGTATTTCC